CAGAACGAGGGTGAAGTTGATGATAAGCTCCCTGCCGTCTCCTTCTGTTGCAGTATTGTCCTGAAGTGACATTCAGCCACTTCTGTGTGCTATTTGTCTTCTTGCTGCAGCACAACAGCAAGCAGCAACATTGTAATATGAATATCTGATGGACTCTGAGTATATTTGCACACAGAGTTTAATGTGCAGGCCCTGGAGAGTCTGCTTTATTTGTTTTATTTACAAAAATTACAATTAGCCCCAATTTTTAAAAATCTTTCATAATTCAGATTTCTACATTTTTATCCAATGTTAAATAAAGTGTGCAAAATAAAAATAATTTTCCTTGCCACTGTCTCCAAGGTCTTGCTCGTTGTGGGAATTGTTGGGTCTCTGTAAATAATGTTATAAGGAGTACTGTCTAGACCTGCTCTATTTGAAAAGTGTCCTGACATTGAATTGGTGCTATACAAATACAATTGAATTGACTAGATAGACCTTTAGTTTAAACAGAAACAGCCATAATATCACTATCACTCAACCACCAGACTCCATAGACAAAATCAGCAATTTTACAACACAGTTACAGAAAACTAGGTCTTCTCCAACTTTCACTTCCTTTAAATCGAGGCTTCTGTTGACCTTTCTAAATATTGGAGTCTTTATTGATATATCCTTGTTTTTATTGCCCAGTTTAATCTTTTTTTTTATCAATTTAATCTTATTTACTACTTTATTACCCTTTTTTAAAATCCTGTTTATGTGTCTTTTTATATTCCCTTGTGTTTCCCCTACATCTCGTCTTAATCTTTCTTACGTCTCCTGTAAAGCACTTTGTTGTTGAAAATGGCAGTAATAATTAATTACTCTGCTAATTCTCATCAGCTCACAGGTTGTTTTACTGTTGCTCTCTCTGAACAGACCAGACTAATGTGAGTTATAATCACCTGAGATCAGCATGATATTCACTAAGAAACATTAGAGAACTGTCGTCATGACAACGTATTTCTGCAGAAAGTTGTGCTGCACCTTTTTTGGTCCAATTCAGGCACTGCCTAAAACCCTGAACTGAGTTAGCATTTTAGCACCTCCAGTTCCCTTTCTTCGAAGTGAATGGATAAAGTATATCAATAGTATATGAATAAAGTTTGTGGTTAACACAAGCTTAGGAGATTTTCACATTTTGTTCTACGACATAAAATATACCTCAGTAAATATCCCACCAATTCATTTTTAAGCTTTTACGTGTCTTAAAAAAGGCGGCTGCTAACATTTGGCCTGACTACAGAGAACTGGGTTCAACCACACACTAACGTACTATTTCTACGAAGTATCACATTGAATTGAAATGCCTGACTGTATACCAGATAAACATGAATATCTGAGTATACGCGTGATATGCACATACTAAACAGCCCCATAACACATTGTGTCTCTTCTCACTGGTCGATGGCGGACTGCGAGGCACACTGTTTTAGATTGATCACTATTTTCATGCATTTTTTCACCACAAGATTCACTTTTCAGAATATTTGAATCGAGAAATCAACTGTGTAGATCTTGAAAATTGATGGCGAACCAAGAAAGCACTTATACAGTTGAGAAGCTTAGCTTACGTTATGACACAGCATGAACGCCCTTCTAGTGACTATAAAATCTCCGGTATACTCTGTGTTTCCGGAGCAGACACAGAGAGTCTGACAGGCTCATGGTGGGTTAGCTCTGTTAGCTCTGAGACGCTAGCTTTTAGCAATGGCTGCTAATGTGCTTCTAGTGACTGTAAAAGGAGAGGCCGCGCCCACTGTGTGATTCTCTGCGGCATATTTTTAATTTGTTGGGGGGGATGGAGCAGAATTTAGGGGTTTAGTTTTGTGTCGGTTTCTGTCTTTGATTTACAGTCACTCAGTGGCTTCTCTTAGTTGTCCTCAATGCATTTACAGACAAGAGTACACGATGTTTTCTGGCAGTCAGACACAAACTTTTAGTGGGTGAAGCTTCGAAAAACCCTGAGACACATTGACAGCCGGGTCTCAGAGTGGATGATGTTTAAAAGACAAATTACTTTCTGAATGATCGCTCTGCAGATCTTTTGAAATCGCAGCCTCGACATGATCAAAACTGTCATGTGGTGACACTTTTTTTTTTTTTTTTGTTACAGCTCGCTACAGCTGTCACAACACATTGTCACATCAAATGACTTTTCTGGTCCCCTAATGGCACAAAATAGGTATGAAAAGAGAATAACAATGTGAAGTTTTGTGTTGGTAAAACAATAAATTCATTTTTTGTGTCAAATAAAGGACTATCACAATTATTTAATGTCTTAAGATAAAAAAAATTCAAATAGTTGCATAAAAAAGATTTTATGTGACACAGCTCATTAAGGTGTGTTTGGCCATGTGGAGGACAAAATATGTCTGTATCAAGGATTTATTTCCCCTGTCAAGATCAATAGTTAGTGGAACCAATATGTCAGATCTGAGAAACAAAACAGACGTTGATCTTTATGAGTGAATGAATTTGATCTCCCAGCTCACACCTTTATTTTGAAGAAAACGTTTAATGTGTTATATGAAGTTAAAGCTCCAGTGTGCACTCTTCTGCCATGTTGAACCGTCATGTTTCTACAGTAGCCCAGAGCGGACAAACCAAAATTTGACTCTAGATAGAGCTTTTCACATTTTTCTTGAGTTTTGCAGCCATTGTAAATATGTAACAATAAAATCTGAGATGAAAAATTATTTGTGATACTCTTTTTAAACAGCAGGGGGCTCTCATACATCACTTGGTACTGAAGTATGGGTTCTCATGACCATCATATCCCAATTAAAAGTGATTGGGTTAGGCAAATCAGCATAGCATTAGACTAGACATTCATCTTATGTCACTGACAGAAGTGTCACCGTCTCACTTGCTGCCCCTGGCACAGATGATAAACAGATATAACACCGTCTATTTGCAGATGATGTCCAACTCTACTTTTCCTTAAAACCTAGTGAGGCTTGTGGGTTATCTTGGACTGTTTTGATGTTATTAGGGACTCAACTGCAGAAAAGCTTTTACAGCTCAGTGCTGACAAAACCAAGGTCCTGGTTTTTCGCTCCAGAAAATGTTTGAGTATTGGCCCCCTTTCCTCTGCTGCCCACTCCAATCTGTGTAATTTAGGGGTAATAGCTGACCAATCCTCTTCATTTGAAACCCACGCTCCTTTTTCAACCTTAGAAATATTACCTCATCTGTTGAACTAGACGTTTATACATATGATACTTAAATATATTGAATTCTGTTTGGGGAACCACGTCGGAATTGTATGCATTTATTGTGTATTTTTGCTGTGTTTTATTTTATATTTGTGACCTGCTCCATCATTTTGAGTCACTTTGACCCAGAAACACATTTTGCGTTTTCTCCATGGCTGTAAAGAGGAAAGTCTCAGCTTTATGGCGATACCAAAATTATTTTTCTACTCCAAAAATTGTATGAGACACGCCCTTCCAAAGGTCGACTGTCACCAAACCTTGTTTTTGAGAAAAAGCGCTCTAAAGATAGCAATCAACATTCCGCCATATTCCAAATGAATTGAAAGACATTTATAGACAGTTTATATTCAAATAAATAAACTTTACTGCTTTACATAATTATAATCAGAGACATTGTATGCTACCATCGGGTCAGCCACGAGTGGAATATCTTCCTCCTGGCCTCCGTCACACTCACTTTCTTCGCCATCACGATCGGAGCCGGCCGGTGTCTGTAGCGCGAAATCCGAGTCGGAGGTCGAGCCGCCGCTGTCACTCTCACTCTCAGCTGCCGGTGCGGTGAAAAAGTCCGTAATAAGGTCGATCCAGTTGTCGTAGCATGTCTTACAGGAATTGAATTTAAAAGTTGAGCAATTTCGTCGTCGCGAAAATTAATTTTGTCTAGGCTGTCAATCTGTCTCTGTCTCCGTGTCGATCTAAACTGACAGATGACATAAACACGCTGCGGTGTTTTGAACTCTGACACCTGTTTCGTTTTATTTATGCTCGCTATATTTATCCTTTGTATTTTACATTAATTTTGACATGGTATGAAAGTTGAGACTTTATTTAATTAGAAACATGTAAAAACTGAAAATAGCCCAAAATTGTATTTTCTTGTAAAAACGTGTTTCTACACAAACGGGCCGCTGCGACATCCGACTCATTTTGATGGAACACGTCACATTTCATGATTTATTGTGCCTCTTTTGGTTGTGCTTTGCCTCTGTAAAGCACTTACAGAAATATATAAATAAATGTAGTTACTTACAATAGCCAAGGCCGCAGGCATTATGCTTTTAGATTACCCATCTGTCCCATACATGTGAACGCAATGTCTCAGAATTTGGCACAAACGTTCACTTGGACTCGAGAAGAGATTAGATTCTGGTGATTCAAGGTTCAAGTTTATTTTTATTTTTTTACAAGCAATTATGGACGTTTATTCTGGATGGATAATCAGAGAAAGTGAGGTTTGACTCTGAGGAGCGTCAGCAACAACTTCCTGTTTGCATTTACCTGTGTCTCAGGAGGTAGAGCAGGTTGTCCACTAATCAGAGGGTTGGCGGTTCGATCCCCAGCTCCTCCCACTGCATGTTGAAGTGTCCTTGAGCTGCGCCATCGCTATGTGAATGGAGGAATGTGGCTATAGTGTAAAAGCGCTTTGAGTGGTCTGAAGACTAGAAAGGTGATTATATAACTACAGTCCATTTACCATTTACCTATAAGCAGCCTCACGTGTCTCTATCTGCTTCTCTTTATTGGCAACTACTGACACAATAAACATTATTTTGACATATTGGTGGTTTGATTCAGGGTCTACAGTCCCTGATGTGTTTAAAATCGATTCATGCTGCGCTGAGCTGCCGTGACAGCACAAACAATTTGACTTTGAAGGTAGTTTCCAGGTAGACGTCCAGGTGTGTACCTCCTGTGTGTGAGCGTGTGTGTGTGTGTGTGTGTGTGTGTGTACAAACTGAACACCTTTTTGTTGTCTTTCAGGGGAGGAGTTTTACGAGACGTCTCCCTACGAGCCGATCCATTTCTCTGAGGAATTCCGACATGCCTCCATCATCTCAGGTAACGCCACCACCTGTGTGAGTGTGTGTGAGTTTGTTTTCGAGCATGAGCAGATTGACACACTTAAAAAGGTTGCAGCAGCAGTGAGTCTCTGGGAAGTGTTTGGGGGGGATTACCAAGAATACAAATCTGTGCGTCTCCCCCCGCTGATTAGGATGAACTGAGGGGCTCTCCCTGCCGCTCGCTCCATCTGTGAATGCGTGAATGAATGCTTTGTAATAACGTGTGTGTGTGTGTGTGTGTGTGTGTGAGTCACACTGAAGCGATCCTTTCATGAAAACCTTATTTTCCAGCCAAAATTCAACACATTTCTCATCATTGAAAGGGCAGAGAGATAACCTTTGTACATTTTTCATTATTGTCCGGCTCCGTATTATCGACTGATTTTAGTTTAAATATCAGTGTCAGACTATATGTCAGCCATTAAAGGGGCTGACATAATCTTACACTTAAAGGTCAGTTTAATAGTCATTGTCAGTCCCATTCAGTGTGCTGAATTTGACAAAATATTCAGAATAACCCTGTTGATGCCGCAATGAGAGCAGACTGTAAGCTGTAAAAGAAACATCCCTAAAAGCAAAAGTAAAAGAAGAGACCTCTGTGTTCAGGATGAAGGAAAAGTTTATTTCCTCTTTTGTTTTTTCCAACAAAATATTTATTTAATATTTCTGTTTTTAGGCAGCATTTAAAGTTTTACACAGAGTGCCAGTTTTAGAAAACTGATGTTAATAATAACATATCCACTCGATAACGTTATCCAGCTAACAGCACATTCAGACTATATGTTCCACAAACTTAGCAGTAATGTTAGCTTTGACTTTGGACTCTGTGTTGTGGACTCTGTGTTGGACTCTGTGTTGGACTCTGTGTTGTGGACTCTGTGTTGTGGACTCTGTGTTGTGGACTCTGTGTTGGACTCTGTGTTGGACTCTGTGTTGTGGACTCTGTGTTGGACTCTGTGTTGTGGACTCTGTGTTGTGGACTCTGTGTTGGACTCTGTGTTGTGGACTCTGTGTTGGACTCTGTGTTTGGACTCTGTTTGGACTCTTTTTGGACTCTGTGTTGTGGACTCTGTGTTGTGGACTCTGTGTTGGACTCTGTGTTGGACTCTGTGTTGTGGACTCTGTGTTGTGGACTCTGTGTTGTGGACTCTGTGTTGGACTCTGTGTTGTGGACTCTGTGTTGTGGACTCTGTGTTGGACTCTGTGTTGGACTCTGTGTTGTGGACTCTGTGTTGTGGACTCTGTGTTGGACTCTGTGTTGTGGACTCTGTGTTGGACTCTGTGTTGTGGTGGGTGTTGGTCGTTTGTAACCGTTAGCAGACTCCATTTATAAACTAATGTTAGCTATTGTTGCCCACTGTCGGCACTGTAGGGAAGTGGAGAGAGAAGGCACTCGGGAGCATAAAGGTCACAACCTTTGACCCTCATCCCTACATAGAAACACATAGAAATCAGTCCACAGGCAGCAGAGGAAGTCGGCCTCATTTTTTAACTCATAACACATCAAAAATGCTCCAGACTCTCACATGTGGAGCCTTTAAACGTTGTATTGTTTGAACCTAAACATGTTTCTTTTTCTCTCCAGCCGTCCGGTGATTGGTCATACTACATTAGACCTGCTGCACAACGCTCTCTCTCTCTGTGTCTGAGGAGTGTTTAAATGTCAGACGCCCCAAGCAATACATCGTCATTTACACTTTCTCTGGGTGTGTGTGTGTGTGTGGTCAAACAGCTGTGAAATAGACTCGCAGCTCTGTAAATTGGGTTCTGCTCTCTCAGATTAACACAAGTACAAACATGGTCAAAGCAGGAGAGCTGCATCCAATGCAACTTCAAAAGCACTTTCTTCCCCTCCCTATCTTCCTCTCTCTCACTCACAAACAAACAGCGAGTGCATCGGTGCAGGTGGTGTGTAACATTTCAATTATTTCCAACGTCCGACCTATAACATTGCTGGAAAACGTGACATCAATCTCCACACGTATGATGCGTGTGTGTTATCGTATGCGGTGGTTTCCAGCAGTTGCTGGTCTCTGTCTGTTAAAGCCGTCTCTCAAATAATCACCTGTCTACTGGAATCTGGAAGCATGATGTGAAGATCCACAGCCGGAGAGCCTCCGAATGCTCGGAGCAGATAAAGAGGAAACAAGACGGAGGGAGGGAGGGTAGGGAGGGAGAGATAAGAGGATAATATAGAAGTGTGTTAAATAGCAGTGGCAGAAGAAAGAGCGCTGGAACATTAAAGTGTGTTTCAGACAAGAGTGTCGCAAATTGATTGGAAGAGATGGCCGGGCGTGACGGGCTGTTTGTGAATATGGAGCTGGATGTGTGTGTTTGTGACAAAGGGAGCTCCAAAAGTAGTGCAGACTTTAAAGTGGAGAGAATATTGAAGTTACGAGGGAGGGTACAATGTGCCAAAATAAGTCGCATAACAACCGAATGCAAAGTCCAGGTGAAAAGATAAATGTAATTTTAAACCTTTACGGTCACATCCTAAGTTATATTGTTCCTCTGTTTAACAATGTCTGATACAATGTTTGATGGAGGACCGACAGGGAATAAAGTGACAAACTGGAATCGTTGTTTGTTTGTGTCTCTTTGTGTTTTCTTGGTTCTTAATGAGACACAATCACTTCACTCTGTTGACCGGACTCATCACCTCCCTCCCTGCTCCTCTTTATACAGCTCTGAATCTGTATCCATCACACCCTCACTGGGTTTCCTTCGCTTGTCTGTCTGTCTGTCTGTCTGCGGCTGTTCAAAGACCTGTCTGACTGCCTGACACTGGAGCTGTCTCACTGAGGCTTCACAATCCTGTCTTCAGCTTCTGCATCACATATATACTGCAGTACTTCAGAGAGAGGAGATACAAAGAAAAGAGGATGACAGGAGACAAGACAAGAGGGGAGGGGAGGACACAAGGAGAGAGGACAGAGGAGAGGAGGCAAAGAAGAGGAGTGGGAAGAGGAGGAAGAATGGAGACAAGGAAAGAAGAGGATGGAAGTAAATCATATTTTACTCCTGTTCCTGCGGGTCAGCCAGATGGCCAACAAAATAAACCAATCAGAAGAAAAATCCTTCCTCAGACCCTGAAACCACCTTTTTAAAAGCTGGAACAGCGCTGACAACCGAGGACACTAAACAAATACATGAAACAAGGTCTCAGTCTGAGAACAGAAAACCCAGTCCTCCCCCGACTCTGCATCCAGGTGCGCTCTGTATCTGTTTGTAGCTATTGCCCCGTGTACAACCCTCCACTGGAGGTCTGCTGTACAGGGACTGCCAGACTGCAGTGTTTGAGTCTTTATGAAGTTGTTAAAAAATCAAAGGTTCTTCAAACAACCACATTCCCAGAATCTCATTTGTGGCATGTTTGCTCTCAAAGATCTGCCAAGCCTGCAGTACCGAGCTGTTGAAAGGAGCAGCCCAGTAAGGTCCAGGTCCTCAGGCCATAAGCCTAAGCGGACGACTCTCCTTAGCAGCAGGCAAGCTGTATCAAACCAGCTTGGTCCGCAGTTGTATGAAAGTGTTGTCTATAGTCTAAAGGAGGCGATCTTGGACTGTTGTGTTGATCAGTCCCTGACCCCCTTCAGCCACAGGCAGGTAGAGGGCTGCAGCTGACCCAGTGCCAGCCAGACCAGAAAAAGTTCAGGATGACTCTCTGAACTCCTCCATCAGGCTTCTTGGTGGCGTCAGTGCAATGAGCCAACCAGGTAATTGGCAACCAGAACTCTCTATATGACAACTGGGGTAGGAACCATTTCCATTTAGACAACCGAGCACACACATTCTCCTGAACTCCCTCCCAGTTCTTTACTTGGAAGTCCTCGTGCCCAAAAACACTCCCAGCGCTTTCAGACCCTCCTTCCCCCACTCAAGTGCTCCAGGCAGACTGGGCACTGCCTGGTCCATCCACTGCCCCATCAACAAGGCTTCACTCCTCTCCCAGTTCACCCCTGCAGATGAGGCTTTTTCATACAGGGACAGGATGTCCTGCAAACACTGACAAAAATATTTACATCATCTGCCATTATTTCCAGGATGCTGATCCTTTTCTGAAACACTCCAACAAACACAGTGTAAATCAGGGACCAAGGAGAGACCATCAATCCCGGGTGATAACCCTGATGACAGTCAGCTCACAGTCCAGAGCAGCTTTCTCTCCCGGGCTGAGGAAGCCCTTCCAGGAGTTCCTCGCGGCACTCCATGCTGCAGTGTTCTTCCCTGAAGGTCAGAATAAAAATCCACTGCGTGGTTCCTCATCTCACTTGGAATGGTGGTCACTCTGCCTCCAGGAAGCTTGAGGCAGGTCATCTGCTTCCTCTGTGCCACGGATCTCTCCAGATTAAAAAAGAAAAGGTCCATCCATCCATGTCCCTTAGATGGAGGAAACGAGACCTGACAAGAGCTCCATTCACTCTCTCCTGCAGGAAGAAGCTCAACTCCAGCCTCTTCTCCTGAAGCTGATGACCCATATTGGGATCAGAGTCTCTATGCAACCCCTTTTCAATGTCCCCTAATGTTTGCTTCAAGTTCCTGAACTGCCAATTTGTGCCTTACACACCTCCCACCACAACTTCAAAGAACTGAAATCAGGTTTTTTAATTCTCCACTGCTGCAAAAACACTCAAAGCTCAGGCACAAAGTACTGTGTTGCAGAAGTTTGTTCTTAAAGATGATCAACTCTATGCTGGTCACAAAAACAAAAGGGTGGTCAGAAAAGCCAAAGTCTGTTACTGTGGAGTAGTCTTGAGCTGAGACTATGAGAAATGTGGATCCTGTCCAGTCTCGCTGCACTCACCCTGTTATTGCTAACCCTCACCCATGTGTATCTGGATCGTGGAGGTTTGATCTTCCACGTGTCTAACAGATCCAGCTGTGTGATGATACTGTTCAGGCATTGAGATGACTGTGGGTGGGGTAAGATCTCCAGTGCAGTTCGCCACCTATGATTAATTGATCCTGATGCTGATTCTTTAGCTCATTATTTGGGGGATA